ATCACAAGTACTGGGGGAAAACAATCCAACATGGGGATCGTTTGACTAGCCCGTAGGGTTTCGACTTTCTACCCTGCGTCTAGAGATGAGCTATCCAACTATGGGACTACCACTCTACAGCACACATGCAGGAAAATCCAACGCCATTTGAGGCCAAACCAAACCAAACCATGTCCCACGCACGTAGACTGCCCGTCCGTGCTTACGACACACCTGATCAAAGGTGCTCGAATCTTTACCACACGTCAGACAGTCCAACACTATGTGTGGTAAAGTAACAATAACCAGTATCCAAGTGAGCCAACTCACCGGAAAATTCAATGCCATGTGTGGGTAAAGTAAATCATAAAAATGTGTCCGGGTTCTTTACCACATGCCGAAACATCCAACGCTATGTGTAGTAAAGTAACCAATATCAAATGTGTCCGATTTCTTTGCCACACACCAGGAAATCCAACACCATGTGTAGTAAAGTAATTAGTAATCAGTATCCACGTGTAGTAATGTATCCTGGCCCACTACATGTCTACGAACTCATGAGAGTGAGCTCTATGCAATAGTGCCACTCATTTCCCCAAAATCCTACATAGAGGCGTGCAAGAGCCCTTTTATAGTTAAGATGTAATATTTTTTTTTTATTTTTTTAATATGACCATTATTTTCTATGTACGTTATTGTTATTGATTTGGGCGAGCCTGTATCTTAAGGAAATTTCATAGAGAAGTTTAAGAAAGTGGCAGAGTCTATGGCTCAACGTCTTAAGGAACAGCTTGTGAATGTAGCCCATAGTGAAACTGACTTCGATGGAAGTGGCATTAAGAGACTGTTGTCCAACAAGTTTGAATTAGACAAGGTCTGTCTCATAAAGATGCCTTCTCTTTGTTATTGGCCATTTGCATACTTAATCATGGGTGAATTCATACTTTTTTAGTATGTGTTTTTATTTTCTGCCTAGAGTGCCGTACATATTGAATTCCCTTATATGTCAATCTATTGTGAAATGCAGTCGCTGAATGCAGCTATTGAAAACGTGCCAAAAGACCATAGTGAGAAACTGTCCAAGGAATATTTGCGTGTGGCGCTGGATGTGGTGGCTCCAACGGCTGGTCTGCCATAAGTTGGTGTGGTTAAGTAGGTGCTTTGTTAATTACCTCTGTTATTATGAACTCAAACAACCTATTCAGCAAATATTAGTAACTTATGCTTGTCCAAGCGAGTGACTAATTCAAGATGTCCAATGACTTACAGATGGACAAGGTTGTGCATGATGCGTTCTATTGATCCTTTTTTCCGTCTTCTCATCTTTTCACCAACCACAGGGGTCAGTTCTACTCTGAGGAACAAGGAGGAATTGTTGGATCAACACCAATGCCTCGATCGGATGGTGTTTCTTGGCTCGCGGAGAATTCCTTCAATTTCTGAATATTGAAAGTTGAATCAGTTTGTCGGAGAGCGGATGGGCCCAATCGAGGCCCTAGTTGTCAACTTATTCTTAGTACTGATCCTTCTGCTTGCTTAGGCGTGCCACTATTGGGTATATCACTAGCCCAATAGATCTGGTATGAAAGTGGATGATTAATGTTGAAGGAGCTTGCGCCTTTTTTCTGAACTTCTTACCAAGCCATCGTGCTCCCGGGGGGGGGATGTGTGTGCGGGAGAGGGATGGTACTGGCCTGGGTTGATTCTTTTCTATGCCTCGGTTAAGAGGACTTCAATATTCTTTCCTTCGTGAATATCGCCTTGACAAGTACGAGCAATACATGAATAGGCAGTAAACTAAGACCAAGTTTGTGGTTAGCAAAAACCATGCCTGGGTTCTATTAACCTGTTTCAATATTTTTCGCATTCTCGAATTGGATTAAAAGTTGATTTGGGCCCAGAGGTGCAATTTCGGGCCCAACTCAACTTCCTATACTTTTTCTTTTACTGTTTTTTTCAGGCCCCTATCCCCCATCGGGCCCGAATATTGGTTTTTCTAGACTTTTCGAAGGATAAAAGGGCGGGAATTCAATTTTATGTATTAAAATTGTCCATAATCCGTTTTGAGATGATTAATGTGAAATTTATCTATATAGATCATTCTGCAACTTATATTCACTTTGAGCTTTAAACTAAATAATAGAAGATTCTTCAATAATTCACCAATTATCTTCGAACCCGGATTACAAAGTAAAGAAAAAGACACCGGAGATTTCTCGATCCAGTTAAACGATTACATGAATTGAAATGAAATACTTTTTAAAAGAAAAATCATACCATGGATATGGCAGAGCTACAAGAGATAAGCGCAGGAGTTGTCAACTGGTTATCTAGAAAAAGTAGGTAGATTGTTTTCTTGAAAGTGTTTTTTGAGACGTTGCGTCTGGTTTTGGAGAGAGAGTCCCCTTATTATGAGGCATACCCTTATTATTTATAGAGGTGGATAAACTTGTAATGATGGAAACTGTGACAAGACCTTTGGCTTGTGGTCAACGTCAGCTGCTAGTTCGTTGATCTTAACCAGTTCATAGAGGGAATGATGGAGGATTTCTGGCAAGAACCGTTGGTTTCCCTTGTGGTGCCTTCTTGATTTGACTTTTTGTACTTGAAAACCCGGCTGGCAATTTTGACCTTCTCTGGTTTTAAGGGCTTCAGTACGACTTGTTTTCTTGCTAGGCGAGCAAGAGGTCAAGTAATCATTAAATGCGATAATCCCCTTCGGCCTCCCACGTGGGCTTAGAAAACATGCTTATCAATCTTTTAACTTGTAGTGTGAGATGGAGGTTTTGACTTTCCTGACTTGGGTCTTTTTATTGATTCATTCAAAAAGGCCTGGTTGGGAAAAGGATTGTTTTTCAGAAAAAACAAAATGCTAATGGGCCTGGCCTTATTTTAAAATATCTTTTTAAAACTTGAGACCATTTTTGGCCCGTCTACCAAAATTGGGTACAAACACGTTCAACTTGGTGAATGAAGATAATGGAAAGCTGCTCAACGAAGACGAGTTCAAGAAGGTATTGACTGAAATCCTGGGGAGCGTGATGTTGCACTTGGAGGGAATTCCTATCTCAGTTTGTTCAAATTCAGTTGTGCACGAGCCCCTTGCCTCTTCTTGTACACTATTGCAGCCATCTTCCTAGTTATAGAGCAATAGCTCTCGTGAATATATCAAGCGTAACAAATACAAAACTGGCAGTAAAATTTTGATGAAGGAAATGTTGACTACCACAAGTTTGTGTGTTGCTTAGTTAGAGATGGAGCCAAGATTTATCAATGTCCACTACTGTGTCTGTTGTGACTGATTTCTGTTTGATGCATTCAGGGTTTGATCTGAAATTGTTACTAGAGCAAATGGTACCAGGATTTGTCAAAATGTTACCCTACTTGATGCAATTGGTCTCTGCTGGATATAAAAGCACCTTGCCTTGAATATCATGTTTAGATGCAAGTCAAGATTGGGTTAATTAATTTCATCTTCGAGCCTATAAATTGCAGAGTAATACCATTTCTAGTACTTATCAGCCCCATCTATAGATTGAAAAGATGAAACCCAGCAATACTAATAGCTACAATATTAAAGAAGAATATAATGTTGACAGGGTACCGGTTGACAAAAATTTTGTCAAAATGAGCTCATATTGTGTTCTTTGCTCTTCAATTGGGCTCTTGCTTTCTTCTAGGAGCTCTCCCTTAGACGTTTCACTTTCATGACAGTAGTTACTACAGCATTAACAAATTCATATGTATATGACCGGTCATATGAACGTTGGCTACTGCACTTATATGCATGTGAGCAGCAATACAATGATGATGATTATGTAACAGCAGGTAGAAAGAAAAAAAACTAGTTTGATGCAGAGGACTAGAAAAATGTAGAGGTTGTACAAACTTTTAGTGTCAATCTTACGGTCTGGTTGTATAAACAGGTTGGATTGAATGGTTAAAGCATTTTGTCAAACCCATGAAAAATTGCATTAGTATGTTTACTGTAGCAATTGTTCTTGCCCGATATTGCTAGAAATGAATGCGCTGGCTCATATCTGGATTCAGAAATTTGATGATTGGCATTTTCATAAGGTTTTTACCATCTAATTTGGATTTTGTAACTCATGTTCCACCATTGCATCAGCTATGACTGAATCACTTTACATTTTCTTTTTGACTAAAGGTGAATCAGAAATCCGAAAACCTTCCTCCCAAAAATTGAAGTCAATGACCAGCTTGGTTGTGATTTTGTTTCTTGGGAATAACTCATAATAGTTCTCAGACTATCGGGCTGTGCGACAACTGTGAATGTTTGCTGTAAAACAATTCCTAAATCTATTCCCTTCGATTTAAAAGGTTTTTTAGGTTTTAGACATAAAAAAAATTTCACTTTTGGAAAAAGCCAAAGCTTTTTCAAAAAAGACAAAAAAACACTCAACTTTCAAATCAAAGACATGCAAATGTATTGGATTCCTTAGGAAATCTAACAATAAATAAGGGCATTTTTGTCCATTTTTGCTTCTTTTAAAATTTTTCTTTCTCCTTTTGCTTTTTCTAAAATGTCCCTCGATTCAAATGGGTGTTGATGGTTGTTCTTTGAATTCAAGTAATGATGAAACAAGCCTAAAAAAAAAAATCAATGCACAACTAAAACCTAATATAACATGTGGGACCGAACCAAAACTGAATTAAACCAAAGCAAACTGATTATTTATTTGTTTTGATTTTCAATTTTAAGGTAAAACGGACCGAATTGGACCGTGCCCACCATACTTACTGACACCCAATGGCGCGAGATGTAATTTATGCCAATTATGCATTCATCGTCTAGGACAGCCCATGGACTAGATTTTTCTAGGGCCCAAAATGATAAGAAAGCCACGTACGCACGCGTAAGATGCTTGTATGCCGGATAACATGAAAGTTGACTGCTTTCTTAGTAGCAGAGAGCCACATTGTGCTTCATTTCATCCTTTAAAAAACCTCCATTCGATCAATTGAGAAACCTCACCTAGACCAGATATAAACCATTGACAATGGAGAATGTGAAACTAGTTGAGAAGGTTGTAAATGCACCAGAAAAACTGAAACAGCCCCGGAGACTTTTCTTATCAAACATAGACCTGGCCCTTGTTGTGTACCAAGAGACGGTTATCTTTTTTGATCCTCCAAGCAATGGGATGAGCTTCTCCGAGGCTTATCATAGCTTGTTTCACACACTCGGTCCCTTGCTAGCTGAATATGATTTCTTAGCCGGGCGGCGTGTGCCAAGTTTGGAAGACAGCAATCACTTTGAAATCGAATGCAACGGTGCAGGTGTTGTTGTTGCTGCAGCTAGGACAGATACCAAGCTGGATGAATTTGGTGAGCTTTTGGTACCCAAGAAAGAGTTCAGGCAGTTTGTTGCTTTCTTGCCACAAGAGGCTGAGGAAATGGATCACAAAGATAAGCCCCTTGTGTCGTTTCAGGTCTGCTCTTATCGTCATTTCACTATTCAAATAAGTCCTGATCAATCTTTGGCTGTGAAAAATGAACAAAAGTCCCAAATTGATCACAGTAATGTATGTTTGTTGTGACAGTTCACTCAGCTTGGATGTGGAAGCCTAGTGTTTGCCTCCAGGTTCAATCATTGCGCAGTCGATGGGGTTGCAGTCCGGGAGTTTGAGGCAAATTTGGCAGCTCTAACTCGCGGTGGTAACTTAGTCATTCGACCAAATGCAGATCGAACAATGTTCAACGCTCGAAACCCTCCAAACATCAGTTTCCCACATTTCGATACTCAAAAGCCACTGATAGAACTGGCATATTCACTGTCCGTGGTCTGAGTGGCACCAACATGAAACTATCCACAACTCTTAACCCAACGCGCCTTATCTATTTGTCCAAAGATCGTATTGCCAGCTTGAAGAAGGCAGCCCTTAAAGATGGGAAGTTGAAGAGCTGCACTAGTTTTCAAGTTGTTGCAGCAATGACTTGGAAGGCAAGGAGCATTGCGGTTGATATGCCAGATGAAAAAACTTGGACTATTTTTTATTCCAGTCGATGTTCGCAAACAAGTTGTGCCTCCAGCCCCACCTGGATTTGCTGGAAATGCATTGGTTCCTGCCTTTGCACATGCAACTGTGAAGGAGATTAAGGAGGAAGATGACTCTACCCTTGTAAGGAAGGTGCAAGAAGGGGTAGAGAGATTGGATGATGAGTATGTGAGGTCAGGGATAGATTGGTTAGAGGTGAATAAAGGGGTACCTTGTGAAGAAGATAGCTTCTCACTTGTGTCATGGTGGAAATTGGGGATAGAGCATGGTGAATTCTCCTGGGGAAAATTTAAGTGCGCCACATTGGTTCTACTCAAGCCGGGCCTTGTCATGCTGCTGCCAGTACCGGAAGGAAAGGGAGGCCTCAGCATATGCCTGGAACTACCTGATGATCAAATGGAGTTGTTCTGCAGGTTGATGCTGGGCGAATAGTATACATGATAAGATGAATTCATTTGTTTCTATATTTATACTAATTCAGCACATGATAAGGCTGTATTAGATCAACTGTTTCATTCCTCAGCTTAATATTTCTTGAACAAATAGAATGTTAATTAGTACATAAATACAGAGGACGGTAGGATGACTATGAGAAATTTCCATAAATTATAGTTCTTACAACAAGGCAAAAGACTCAGTATAAGATTTCTAACATGACATTCCTAGAGATTAATCAATAATTCATCAACGCTGCATACTTTAGCCACTTTTCCTTCCAAGTTTAAGACCCAATTCATTGAACCTTGTATCACAAGTTTCTCTTGCCCGCTATAGAAGGCCAAAGAACGGGTTTTATCAATGCAGACTTCAGCTCAGAAGCAGCTGAGTTTAATGTTGCCATGTCAACCTTATTGTGAGGAAGATACAAAAACTCTCCCCCTTCAGTTGTCTCAAACCCACAGAGCTCAAGGAACTCAATTCCTCCAATCAAACTCCCAACTCTATCCTGCTCAATAAATTTCAATAAACACGAATTTAGACAATATATAACCATTGTTAACTGTGTTTATTCTAAGCCTTTCTTTTCTAACCATCCCCAACAGAAAGAACACAAACATGCATGCGCACACACTAAGTCGGAAAACAGAAGAGATAAGTCAAAGCACAGCTTACCAAGAATAACGGATTACTGAGTCTGATCTTCCTGAATTTTTCTTCATTAGGATTCCTTGCAACATTTCCAACATATATCAGCAAGGTCTGGAAGGCTTGTCGCACTCTAGCATCGTCATCCTAGACCCACCAAAGAAAACCAATCAATAGGAAAATATGCCTACTAAAAAGCAACTTTTCTGTGATCTCCTTTCCTTTTTGATAAGTAATGCATGGTACTAATGGGTATTGATGGTTGTTCTAGACCAATGTGTTATGAAACAAAACAAATTTTTGATATTTCAATAGCTATGAGGGCTCCTAATGATCCTTTTGGACTATTTTCTGTTATTCAAAGATGTAGGTCAAAAGGGCAACAAGGCAAGATTACTCTCTTTCTTGTAACAACGAGTTTGGGAACCTATTACTACGTTGAAAACATGAATCAGAGCCATATACCTTGTGGTTGCGCCTCAAGGACCGTAAACATTCTCTCAAACGTTCTGATTTTGCAACAGAACGGACTGGAAATGGATTCTGACATTTAAAGAGTAAGAAGAGAACATTCAGGATAATTTTATATTATGAAATTCCCTGCAAAAACTATGTTTTTCAATGAGATAAATGAAACTTTAAATCTATAGACACCAGTACAAAATATTGATACCTGTTCTATCCTCACTGCAGGTGTGCGTTTCTCAGCTACAAGCTGTTCAGGTGGCAATCCAAGATTGACCCTTCTTTCTAACTGTAAAGACATGCATACAGTTTTAGGAGTAATTCAACACTTATGAACCCCCTTTGGGCATATTTCTGAAAGAAAAGTGGATTAGCATTATCTAAGCACCTTATCCTGTTTTAGTTTCCTGCGAATTCTTTCTCTTGCTCGTTTCTCTTCCTCTTTCTCAGGTTTCCGAAACTCTATATTACTGAGAAGATAAAGTTCTTATTCCACTCAGAAGTAGTACTAGGCTAAATGAAATAAAACAGACAAAAACAAAGAGAAAAAAATACTAAATTGAGGCAGACCGTTTTCTTTCATTTTCTTCTAAACTTCGCTTTGCTTCTATGAGTTGCTTACCAGATTGAATCCTCTCCTGAAACCGGGAAAAAAAAAAAAAAAAAAAGTATCTGGGTTGGTTAAAACCAAGAGGGAAAAAGACTCTGCAGCTTCAGTTTACAACATTGATGAGGGATGTAGAGAGAGTGCCTAACAAGCAAATAAACAGAATTCCAACTGCAAATTTAGTCAAATCCCAAAGAATTAGAACAAGAAAACAAGGGTGACATGCTGTGATTCAATAACAACCAACTCATTAGGAACCATAATTCCCCTAATCTGGGAAAAGAAAAAAAAAGAAAAAAAAAGGTATCGAAAGTTCATCATTTATACAATCCAAATTCTTCATGATTTGGTCAAACAACAAAGATAAAAATGACATAGATAACTGAACAATACCTTCTCGATCCCTGAAAATGTCTCAAACATCATGTAATTTAAAGAAATCAAATATTGGAAGATTAAAGAGTTGAGAAAAAAGAAATCAAACAGGCAGTTGAAACTAATGAAGATAGAACTTGTGTGTGCATAAGTGCATTAATGTTACATAAAACCATAAGGATGATGAGAAAGTAACCTTAACTCCTGTGCTTTTATTTTCATAGCTTCTGTTAAATAGAATGGTTTTGGAGATCCAATGCTAATGTCCACTGTTACCTGTGAGTAGTTGACCAGTTGAGAGTAAATCCTCCATGAAATCCCACTGGAAATTATTTTTTGTTATCTGTCTCATGCTTTAAAAACCGAACACCACCAATTCGACATGTTTGTTGTAGCCATGGAAATCTGAATGCAATGTAATTTAGATGCACAACCAAAGTTAGATAACAAATCAAACCAACGGCATCTCATCCATGTCGGCGTCATTCTCATGATCAACGATCCAACCTATAGCAGCCCCTAAACTAGCATTGCCTGGTAAAAAGGAAAAACAAATGAACTACCTACAAACTTGAATCTAGAACATGCACATGTATAAAAACCAAACCAAAACAAACATGAATTCATCTAAACCAAGCCTCAAATGCACACAAAATTCTTAGATCCTCTCAAGAAGAATACTTATTAAACTACCATTAGAAGCTTAAATATGGACCAAATGATCATCACAACAAGGTTGAAGAATTTCGTTTAACCCTCCACCATAAACACTTCAAATTACCAATTCTAGGCACACCTTTAAACCTCGAGTAATTCAAGATTTTATTCAAATTTTGAAAGCTGAAAATGGTAAAGGAAAAGCTTCACCAGAATAATGAAGTGCTCCTGTTGCTCGAGGTCTTGGAAATCCCATTGCTTCAAGCTCTCCAATAATTTTCTTGTCAACTTCCGGAACAGCCATTGTTGTATATGGGTGGGCAAGGTTTGTACTTTACATTAGAAACTGGAGATGAAATGGGGATAGAGATTGGGAGGTTAAATGAAGTGGGTTCAGAGAAGTCCTACAACGGAAGCCTTGTAAAGATTGGACAGCCATTTTCAAGAGATTTCTGAAACCTTCTCATATTGTGAATATTTTGATTCTCAATTTATACCTTTCGGCTTCCTGGCTCTTAAGAAAAGAATAGGGCACGTAGGATTGGGCTACTCTCGTCTTTCGATTTTCCTTTTTTGTTGGTCGATTGGGTTTTTTTTTTTTTTTTGTTGTGTTCTTCAAATCTTCAACTAGCCCAATTTCTTTCACTGGTCTGCAACTGCAACTGCCCCAAAAATATTGTGCCAGATTTTAGATTGAGTCAAAGCCCAAAACAATCATTTTTTTAACCTTCAATGATTCAAATTCAATCACAGCCGTTAATTGATTGAATCACCTTCAATATTTCGCCTTCAATATTTCACCTTCAATGTTACTCATCTGCGAAGCTTGCTCTCTACATTGCTGAATCTTGTAATCTTTCTTTAATATTTTATGAATATCAATTTTTTTCAATTCCTATTTTATCCATTTTCACATTTCGTGTTGAAGTAATTTTTTTTTTTTTCATAAGCGATATTAGGTGATGAGGAATCGAGTCCAAGGGATTTCCAAAAATTTCAGTGCAAGTGGTTTAGAATGTCAAAATTGTCACCTATTATCTTTCCTATTTCATCCGTAATTTTGATTAACCTTGGTTTATATGAGAATTTATCAAAAATAACCAAAACTTTATCCTTAATTTCAAAAATGTCAGTTTTTGTAAAATATTTCAAATATAGCCAAAAGCTCACCTAAATAGACTCAAATGCCCTCAAATTTAAAACCCACATAATCCTGAAAAATAAACTTTATTAAATAAAACTTTGGAATACTTTTAACCCACATTTGTATAGAAGAACATAAGTTGATTTATATCATCCTATTTATTGATAAATGAATAAATTTGTTCTCAACGGGTGGTGCCATAGAACAAACTCGCATCAAAAGTAACCCAAGTAAACTAAAAATGTCAAACCATCACAACATCAGTAAAATAGCTAGTACTTAATAATCTGCAATCTAAAATATGCAGGATACAAAATCTAGCCTTCCACACCATATAAAAAACTTGGATAAATTTGGAATTCCAATGCTAAATTAAAAACGAACGGTGGAGCAAGTAAGAAACAACCCTGCCACTGCCAACAATATTATCAAGTATTTTGCATAATTTTTAATCACCAAACAAAACTAAAGCATATTAATAAAATAGGAATCCCATGATAAGTTCCAGAATGCTGCTCCTAGAAAATTACATACTAAAATGCAAATTAAATATAAAAGGGAAGAAAAAACCATAGAAATTAGGCAAGGAAGTTTAAAGTGCAGTATCTGCAGACATAAGAAACTTTTATGTTGATGTGAATGGAAAAATTCTGGCTTATGTTTCTTATCCTTCACAATTTAGATTCACAATATACAATTTTCTTTAATTCACCAACAACAAAAAAATGTTGGTTTTCAATGGTTTTTGGATGTCTGCCCTATATGTGATATAATATAGTATGGAGAATAAACAAAGAATCAAGGAAGAACTACACTCATCGTTTGCCTAGGGCAATAATACGTCTACAAACGTACGTCGAAAGATTCCTAATCTAATAGAGTTTTCTTTATAGGTTTACGTGGGTTTTAAATTTGAGGGCATTTGTGTCTATTTAGGTGAGTTTTTAGATATATTTGAAATATTTTACAAAAACTAACATTTTTGAAATTAAGGGTCAAATTTTGACTATTTTTGATAAATTCTCGGTTTATATGGCAAAGAAGGAAAATATAAAATACAAATGTTACATCACCTCCACCAGGACCCGCCCTAAAGAAAAGTTTTAGACACTTCCATAAACCGTTGGAACTCGGAAAACTACACACACCGAGACCGATACAAAAATTTACAAGCAAAAAATAAAAACCAACTTCTTGCTTTAGCTGGTAGCTCCCAAAATCACAAAAATCAGAGAGATAAAGATGGCAGAAAACAAAGCCAGAAGAACGATCAAGCTGTTTTTGCCCATCAGTGGCAAAGACGGTGTCGGTGTTGGTATGGGAGGAGCAGAGGCTGGACTTGGGCTCCATAGCCAGAACGTTTGGGCTGGACCCACCAACCCTGAAGCTCAACGGTCACTTTATCAGCAGAGGGCTCGACCTCATCGCCTCCTCAGTCACCTGGAAGGCCCTCCTTTCTTTCTTCTCTGCTAGAGGACTCTCAACAGGGGAAAACGACAGCAACCCCATTGTCGTTGATGGCAAGCTCTGCAAAGTTGGCACCAAGCGTAAGTTCTACCACCAACTACTTTATTATCTGTTCTGGGTATATGGGTACCTTCAGATTTGATTTTTGGCTCGTTTCGATCATGAAAGATTGAATCTTTGATTTTGCAGGAGGACATGAACTACACGAGGTCATTGATAACAGAGGAAGGGCAGCTTTTGAAGATGACAGCCTGCTGATCAAGAGTAAAAAAGATGAGGAAAAGCAACCCAGGTACATCAACTGAAAGCAATGGCAGAATTGGTATTTGCTCTTCCAGGAGAAAGCAATTGTTAGAAGATGTAAACTTGCTCAAAAAGCTAAAAATAAGTGAAACTAACCCAGGTACTGATTCATTCTGGCTTAACTTTGAATTGGTTTTTCTGGGTTGTTTTTGGGTTAACTTTTTATTATAAGTTAACACAACTGGTCCTATGGGATTTTTCAGATATCCAAGGAAGAAGTAAAAGCGAGTCCAGCAGCATCTCAGGTGCCCAACTTAGATGCAGTTATATGAGGGGGAAGATGAAGAGGAAGAGAGAAGATGAGGCAGTCGTGTCTGCTCCTTACAAAGAGATTATATGAAGCTTCTCATGTTTGTTTTCATTTTTTTTTTCTTGGTTCTTCTTTTTCTTTCATAGTTTGGTTTGGTTTTTATGCGACTTGATTTAACTTGTAAATGATGAGTATAATGTAAGAACAACGAAAAGACTTTTGGTTTGGCAAACCTAATTCCAGCATTGACAATCATCATATGTGCGCTTCATTCACTCGGTGTAAAGAAAACACAAGCAATAGATGAGAAAAATTTGAAGACCGAAACTTGAAGAACAATAAATTCCCTTTGTTTAAGCGTTTTTCAGCCCACAAAACTGGACAAACATAACCCAAAAATGTTGAACTGAAATAAGAACGAACTACAAAAGAAAAGGTAAAGGTCAGATATCAAACGGCTATAGATATGGTAGGACTAATTCTGTTCCTTCTTGAACTTCTTTTGGCAAACACAAGAACGCAAAATCTGCCAGCCCCCTTCAACTTCAGCCAAAATCGATACCAGCTTTCAAATTTCACGATCGCTGCACCATTGGTGTAGTTGTAAGCTTCCCCTGCCTCGTCAAGTAGGGATAGGAGACTGTCTAAGAGCAGAATTGTTACGGTCAATTGCGTGTGTGAATAATGTAACATTTAGTGATGTAGCCTCATGTGAACACGGCCTACTACAATTGGGGGCTGGGGTCCCTGTGAGGGAGCAGTACAGTACTGAAGATACTGTGACTAAGTTCTACCGCTCATATGAATTCGGGCTCTAAAAATGGCAAGCTCATATTGTACAGTAAAGGACCTAATTGGCACCTATTGTACAATGACTTAGACACATCATCCAAAATAAACTTGCCAAAAGACAGCAATTCCAGCCACAAGTATAAAAAGTAAAAGTTTTGAACTGACGAAGGATGATGATTTGGAAGGCGGCTGAGGAGGCTCAAATGCTCTTCCTCTCAGCTTGGCAGACACCCTAGATAACACCTGTCTGAGCTGACCAGTTTCCTTGGTAGCTGCAAACAAACATGAGAAGCTGAACATCATAAGCCAGTTAAACACGAAAGCAAACGCAACAGAGCAAATTACAAGTTTCTGTAGTTAATATTGGTAATTCAAGGCTAATGAATTCAATCATACAAGATGAGAAACTATTGAGCATGATTGACTATTCCTCGTACCCATATAACTCTCAAGTGTCTCTCTCCATTTATTTATTTATTGAAAAGGAAACAATTAACTGCATTAACTGTTAATGAAAGAGTAACAAGCTAAGAGAGGAACGTTCCTGCTGTGTTGTAAAACCATGAGACTTCCAACAAATATTATGATAAAAATAGACAATCTAACCTTTGCTCTTTGAAGATCTTTCCTCCTCACCAACACGCTTTCGAAGTACATTGAGCAAAGAACCAAAATGCAAAGCACATACAGTGCATGTAATTGTGATAACATTGTAAGGCATGCTAAAATCAGGAGTTGTCAACGTTACAAGTAATACTTCTGTGTATGCCAGAACAGCATTGTTTTCCTACACAAATAAAGAGAGTAAACTACAGGCATAAAAATCAGGGACTGAGACACGTGCACAACAAAGAACGTATGGCAGTTAGAATACCTGGAATTTGGATAAGATGGAGGACCTATTCACAGATTTATCTGTAAAGAACCGCATGCTTGTATGGAAGTTGGGAAAGCTTATAATGGCTGCTGGAATATCAAATCCTTGATTGGCATCGGGAGGATACTCATCAATATGCAAAAACCCCTGCATAGATATTTTAACAGTCATAAGAAAATAAACAAGTAAAGAATAAATTTAGTGTACATTCAAACTTCAGCCTATGTTCCAAGCAAAAAGGATGATACAAGATTTCCCATCAACAATGCTTCAGTCATGATTGTCTTCCATGAGCTTGGCAAGAATTTTAACACCACAGGAATTCCAGCATAACCAATGCTATAATAAAGGAAAAGGATATTCCAAAGCATACCTTATCAAATTCTAAGGTTATAGCTGCTGATTTCATTCCACAAGGGAATTTCAGGACCATCTCCATCACCCCAGGTGACACTTTGTCTACAGAAGGTGAAACACGCATCTTTTCAACAACATCTGAAACTTCTTGAGGTTGTTCATTAACATACACTCGCACTGTATGAAAATAAACCTTAATATACCAAGGCACAACCTGAAAAATCCAATTTGCACGTGCCTTCACTCATATCAGTATGCAACAACTCATCACTCACTTCTGTAGATCTCAAGGATATTGCAATAGCACCCCTTTCATTCCCACTTCCCATCAAGAACCTACTAGCATGTAATGGTGCTTTCTGACAGGACCAAACTACAGGAAGCTTCCAAGTTAGGCCTAAATCAAATGGCCTAGACTCACTGTACTTCTCGATATAAAATTCATATACAACAGATGGGGTCTTCCTTTCAAAGCCATTCAGTTCTTTTAATACCCTGTCCGGCTTAACAGACAATTCAAATCCAGGGTTACCACTAAAACCTTCATAGACAGATTTATCAGCACTAGATAACTCATTTTCTTTCTGCAAGTAATCTAGCTGACCAACTAGCCCCCTATCAAGCTGAAGGTATATGGTGGAAGACTTGGCAAGTACACATCTTCCAGTCACCATCCTCCCAAAAATTGAAGTCAAGGACCAGCTTGGTTGTAATTTTGTTTCATGGGAAGAAGACATAACATTTCTCTCACTATCGGGCTGGACAACAACTGTGAGTGTTTGTTGTAGAACAATTCCTGAACCTCCCTCCTCTGATTCAAGTTTAATTGAGGTCAAGCGCAACCGCTGTGAATGATAAAATCCTTTGTAGATAGATGGTCTATCCATTAATGCAGAAAGCCCAGCTTTATCTCTACAAGGAAGGAGCTTCAGCCATGGAGTTAGGTTCTCAGTGCAAACAGCCTCACGGGGCAATGTACCATACCTCAGACTGCCTAGTGCTGGGCAAAAGCCCCATTCAGGAGCAGAATATGTTGTAGACGATTCTAGGAAGTTGACTGAAGCACAAAAGAGACCCGAAAGAGCATGGGTTAAATTCTTCCAAGAATCATCCACCTGTTCAAGAGGGACATCAAAGACAGCCCACAACTCAACTCCAGGGGGCTTGGCATTGTTGCTTGATATGGGATCAAACCCACCCCAACGATCATAGTTCCAGCGACCTTGTGTGAAAGATAATTCCATTTCCTGAACATGAAACTTCTGAACCTGTCCAACCAACACTATCCCGCAAGTTACTTAGCAGTTTAAGATACTACCAAAATTTCATGAATTAGTAGAAAAACGTTTTAGGCAAGTTTAAAGTTGGGTTGTGCTAGCAGTAAGGATCCCGGATGTGTTGCATATTGGAGAAAAAACACAAAATGGTGGGATGAAGAAATTTTAAAATGTTGGTTTTAATCTGGGTTAAACTAAAAGAAGCATTCCCCAAAGCGTGTGAAGACTAATAGCATGCCGAAAATGTAAGTCCTGTAAGTGTCATGCCAATGCCACATTCAGGTAGCAGACACCATTAGAGAACATTAATTACAAAAACCTAACAGTTTCCTCTTCAATCATTATTAGACACCTCTAGTTTCTTTTTCTTCTAAACACTATATATACGGGAATTATGTTAGTTTGGAAACTACATGAAAAACAGACTAGAAACACATGCAAACACAATACAAAGAGCTCAGACAAGAGCTGTCCCGATCAACCTGGCCCAAGTTGAGGTATCGAGAGTGAAATTTATAATAAACCCTAAACAAAAAAATCTCAATGCTGAAGCTCAGACAGGTGATTTTGAACACTTGGCAACACCTATTCAGCTACCATACTACCTTAGGCACCCTTATTAAACAAAACCCAGATGCAAGATCCAAGATTTATCAGTTTTTCCGTATCCTATGCCCAATTTAACAAATTTGAACAACAAAATGTATGCAGAGGCACGTAATGACCTACCAGCTGAGATATGGCTTCGGGGAAGAGATGGTGATGTCGGCCATTGGAGCTGGTATGCGGGGCCCTGCTCCGGAAATGGAAGTGGGCCAGCACCTTTCGATCTGTCAATGGCCTCAGAAGCAACTCCTCCGAGAAATCTTCTTCGGTGACCGATCCCAAGGCAGCTTTGAAACTGAGAATTAGGGCGAAAAGTAAGAAAGAGAGCAATAGGATCGGTCTGAGAAGAAGAAGGGCCATGAGGCGGGGGAGTGAGCTTCAATCGGAGTGTGGGCGTTGCAAGAGTGCTATGAGATGGGGGCCAATGGGGGCCGAGTCGGGTAGTCCGCCATGGGGACGTAGCTGGAATTTGGTCAGTGAAAGACTAGTAATGACTGCTTACGTTGCTCTGGGCTTTTTGGATTTCTACAGACATAAAGAATTTGCCTTTGGGCTTTTGAGCATTTTGGTCAAGAAGGCCCATCATATTTGTTACCATTTTGTTCCAATTGAATTTTCTTTTTTTTTAAATCTCCAAAAAGAAAAAAAAAATGTAACAACTCGGTCCTTAATTAATATTTAATTATTAAATTATTAAGAGAAAAATGCACTTTTGCCTTTAGAATATTTTATTGAGAAAAAGTTGACTTTTTTATTGAAAAGGAATTTGGGAATTTCAGTTATACCATTGCGTAGAGCGCAGCGAGATAAGTCCGTAGACACGTAGTGAGCTCAAATCGGAGTTGTAACGAAGGAGTTACGATCAAAAGAAATTCAGTGGCATAACCGTAAATATTCCGAAGTTGAGTTCTTAAAAACTCAGATTTCTCTCATGTTGGAGCTCGACCAACTGACTTCCAAAGGGAATATCTCTCAACTCCGGCCACCAATTCAAGCAAGACCAGTCCCGTTAGAAACACCACACTTCCCTCTTCCAGTCCCAGCCTTTCTCTGCCCCGATACGCCACCGTGGTAGCCGGAAACAACCAATAAACAGGCAGTGTTGGACAGTTTTTCGTAAACTTTCGCCGGCTCGTTTTCCGTCATCCGGCCACCATTTCTGGTGATCCAGGTATGGAAACTCATCTATTTCTCGAGCCCTAGCTGCTGGTTAGGTAGGATTTTAGAAATTTCTAGCGTAAATAACTCGATCTTGGATACAAAGTTTAGCCGGATTTCGGGTTGAGATTTCGGCCACTTCTTGCCAGTTTTAGGGGTAGGTCCAAGAAC